ATATATATGAAAATAAAATGTTATGTCTGTTCTGTATTCTTTAAAATGTTCATTGAGCAAAATTAGATATTTTTGCATTATTTTATAGCATAAAAGGATCACCTCCTTTGGAATCAGAAAGGTATTTATTGCTGTTATTATTATTTCAAAAATTAAAATTGAGGAAGAATGTAGTTATCTATTTTTAATTTGAGTCAGTTTATGTATTAAGTACAGTTATACCTCACAGACACAAAGTAAAGTATAGCATGATAAATAAGTGAAATTTAGCCTTGATTTTAAATTAAGCAACAAACAATAAACACGATCAATCATTTTAATGCGGTATAATACTGTGTGAGGCCCGTTCTTCCTTTTCAGCAGGGGGCGCAAGAGTGCTTGATCTATCTATCTAACTATCTTACTGTCTATCTATCCATGGTCACGTACATAAATACATTCTTAAACTGAAAAATGTGACAAAAGAAACAGTTAGACCTTTTCCTTAACAAAACAGCATAATCATACCTTAGTAATAGTTTAAAATTCAATCCAATTTTTTGCAACAAAGCACTTTAAAATACCCAGCACAGGACCAAAGTGCTGTACTGTAATTCAGTTAAGAACAATACAATAAAACAAAACAGAGAAAATAAAACACATAATACATAAAAATTAAAACAGCCTTATATTTAAAAAACAAGATAAAACAGCACAGAATCAACTAAAACAAAAAACCAAGGTGTCAAAGGCCAGGGTGAAGAGTTGGGTTTTCAGAAGTGATTTAAAAACAGGCGGAGAATAGGCCTGTCTAATCCCTAAAGGCAGATCGTTTCACAGTTTTGGAGCTGCTACAGCAAAAGCACGATCTCATAATGCGTGCTTCATTCACCTGTTCACTGTTGTTGCTGGAGATTTTAATTCCTTAGGCTGGATATCAATATTTCTAGAGTATGATATGAATACTAGTAAACAGTAAATAAAGCCTTAACACGAATAGTGCAAAATATTATCATCCAATAGGTAAAATAAGGTAAGGGAAGTTGATTTATAGTGGAGAAGAGGTAAAAATAATAAAGAGCTACTTAAAGTACAAGTACATTAAAACAGTACTCCAGTAAAGTATTTGAGT